TAAAACTGAAATATAAATAACAACTGGAATAACGCCCCTATAGAGAGTATATTGGGGTTTTGACCGGTTTAGGGGGTGGAGGAACATTAAACCAACCGGCCTCTTGAATTGAATTTGAAAAAAATAAAAAAAGTACCGATGTCCAATATGCCCCCTACCAACGTATCGGGCATATCAATATTTAAAACCTTGCGTGAATTAGAAATTCAACATCTCGGACTCGGATTTGGTTATGGTTAAACCTCAACTCGGTTTACACCCCCTCACTTTAGGTTGGTGTTTTCTAAAGTTTAAACCTCAACCTAACGTTTAATTCGATCGGATCCAACTTTTTTTTGGTTTTGCGTTGACCGTGGTCCGACAAAAGTTGCATTTCAGTTTACTTCAAGTCCGGATCTCCTCTTTACAAAACACTCCCAACACCCTATCAACATGCACTATGAGACTGAGACTCATCATAAAAATAGGGGGCTGGATCTGCTCATAACAAAAAACTGTTGCAACACATTCCAACATAATATATGTCCACACATCACATGCATGGTGGATCATAGTCTCATGATGGGTGCTAGTTTTATGGTGAAATGTGTGAATATAAATCATGTTGGGACCATGTTGAGATAGCTTTTATTGTGAACAGAATCAGAACGGAAATCCCTCAGAATCCAAATTAGAATGAGAATCTTTCAGAATCTGAATCCAATGGTCTATTCTTATAGTCTATTTGGTTTAGATAGATGGGAATTGGAATCAGTTAGGATGAGATCTCATTCCTAAGAGAGGGGAGGGAATTGACCATTCCCTCTAATTGAAGAATGCCATTCCACAAGGAATGAGAATGAGATTTAGATGGGAATTGGAATTAATTGGGATGAGATCTCATTCCTTACATTCTACCCTACGGACAGAGTGGGATCACAGCTGTGGGGCCCACATCAGTGTTCTCTACATTTTTCAAATGCGATGTTCTTAATCTTTTATGCTAAGAGATAATGCCTATCTTAGTATTGCTTTAATCAACCATTTGAATGGCTCCTACAAGAGCTAGTAACTAGTAATTAATGCAAAAAAAAAAAAGATAATAAATTGAGCATATATAAATGAAAATTTCTTTTTGAAAAAAAGCACTTGTTATGAACAATTATTCTTAATAGAAAGATCATCAAATGAAATTAAGAACATCATAAGAAAAATACTAAATCAATCAATATCATATGATAAATTCTAATAAATACAAGCACTAAACATCTTTGATGGAGAATTATGAATAGAACCAAAAGCTTTGATTCATGGTCTTAATATTTCAAATGGAGACTGGTAGCGTGTGAGAAATGGGGATGTGCCATGTTCTTATTCTTATAGAACAAGAACATGAGTTTGTACAATCCATGGGGGGGGTAGCATAGGTGGGGATTTGGGACAATACCTTTAGAAAACCAATAAAAATTTCTGAGGGGAGTGAACCATCAACTTCCCTAGAAAAAATGGCCCTGTGATATAATGGTAACTTACTAGTCTTTTGTTTTTCTATTATTCTACTAATTTATTTGTAGGCCTGCCTATTTGTATTATGCAGAGAGATTAGTAAATCTCCTAGTTTTATTGAGCCTCTTAAATGTTAAATCTTCTATTGGTGATCTATATTTTGGGGAAGATTGGAAGGAGCAGGTCATATATTTCTGTCACTCAACTAAGATAGTGATAGTAAGATCATAGGTGGGGTTGATTCTATAGTTTCCCTAAGATTTTCAAGGATTGACTATAGCATATCTAAGTTCTTTTCTTTTCTTTTCTTTTTTCTTTTTGGTGAAAGTAGTGTATTTATTATTTAATTCTACACTTGATCTTAGCTAAAAGGCTGAGAAAGGTTTATGTAGTATATTTAATTCAAACTCAGCTTATATGCCTTATTCTTTAAAAAAAAAACATGCTATTCTGTCCTTTTTGTTTAACGATGCTATATCTATCCTTGCTCACAACAACAAAGTCATAAATTTATTTTGAGTTTTCTAAGAAAGAGTTAATGTAGGACTGCAGGCCAACAGGAAGACCCTTTTTTTTCAAATCTTTTTTTTTTTTTTTTTTAATTTTGGGGGATGGAGGAGAAGATGGATCCCTTGCCTTGGGGGAAGAGTTTTGCATTTCTGTTTTCTTCATGATTTATTTACAGCCTTCTATTACAATTAAAATTGAAGGTTCCTTTATAATTTCCATTACAAACCAATTGGTTGATTTTGCTACTCTTCAAAGAGAAAAAGGTCAATTTAAATTGAGGCAATCTTGCAGCTTAAACTTTATTTGTTTATACTTTCTTTGTACACCGAAAAAAGAAAAACCTTTGTTTTTTACATGGATGATCAGAATAATTATAATTTCTTTATATATGAAACTAGAGTCCTTTTATAGAGGTTTCTTCATCTTTTTGTGTTCATCTTAGAAAAATTTGACTTTCCTGATGGTCCAAAACCTCATGCATCCAGAGGCCTTGAGACCTCACCTCATGTTTTCTCTTTAAACACTAACCTGAATCAATAGTCTTAATGGATACTAATGGATAATCCCCTTCCTTATCCCTTATGCTATATTGAAAAAATGGTAGGATCTATCGTATGGACGCCAAAAAGGTTGCGGAATGGGTGGATGAATTTCAAAAATTTCCTACATTTCTTCCAACTGGAAATCATATTCCCTAAATTTAGAATACAATATTCAAGGATCCTACTTGAACCATAACCGAAACAGATCTAAACCAAAAGACAAGGGAGGGATTATACCAGATCCAGAGAAATAATATCTCCCAAAGTTGGTGTTCACGCCTAGAGAAGACACCAAGATCCGCTCCTGCTGAAGATGGCACAACAACTGTGGAACGGAACCAGCAGAGTGCGTCTTACACACCGAATTCTTCAGAAGAATCCTCTGGAAACAATGAGCACCGAACTTGATCAGTTTCTTTTGGAAAACTGATATCAAGAACTGATATCTTGATTTCCTCTTCTCAAAGATCGAATCTTGTAGTGAATGGCGGCGACTGGAGGAGAACTCTTGAGATGAAGATGGCGAATGCTGATTCTCTTCTCTTTGGAGTGTATGAGATCCTTATCTCAATTCGCAGGAGAATTTTCTGCTTAAACCCTAGGTTTGAATTCTGTTAATCATCCTTAGGGTTTCTCCTCTATCTTCTTGATTAAGAAATCTCCTAATCCCATTAGGAGTTATCCTAATCCAAATCTGTATTTGGATGTGGATAATCTTAATCCTATCTGTAGATTAGGTTAGCCTACTCCTAATCTTATCAAGAGGTTACCAGATTCAAATCTGATTTGAATTTGGTCTTCAAGAGTGGATTAGGTTAAAAGCCCAATCCTTTTGCTAACCTTAATCTTAGATCCGCCCCATAAGTGGGTGATCACATCAGCTCAGTTTGAAATGGGCTTTTGGCCCATTAAGTAATCAATGCTCAATTAGTTTTCAATCTGCTGCCTAGTTGGGCTTCTTTGTATGGCGTGGGACCCAAGCATTGATCTACACACCAGCCACATGGGTTCGGCCCAGCCTTTATTGCAAGGCCTAGCCGAATTCACTGGAAAGCCCAACGAACCCCTAAGCCCATCATATGGACCCTATGAGCCCAACACTTACATTAAGTGGTCCCTGGGCCAAGCCATCTTATAAAAACCCAGGGACTGTGGGTAGGTGCAAGATTAGCCCATCAGGTATTATCC